CCCTACAACTTTGAAGCTTACGAGGAAGTAAGAATAGGGTGTCCATAGTTGAATGACTTATAAAGCAGAATGCCAGAATATTTTATTTTGTTTCATCATTTCTTTGTATCTTTTTCCCCTTTTAATTTATTTTTACAAATGCCATGGAAAATTTTCAGGTAGCTGATCAGTTTTATAGTATATTGCATCGGTGTTGCAACAAAGTGCAGGTCTTTTATGGTTTGACATTGTTAAATGCATAAAGTTTTCAGTTGACATGTCCTTAATGCTGTAACTGCTGCTTGATGCAGGCTGTAAGCTGTGATGAAGCATTTTTAGATGTGACAGATTCAGAGGTTGAAGATCCTGAACTTTTAGCTTCATTAATTAGAGAAGAGATCTATAAGACCACTGGATGTACAGCGAGTGCTGGTATTGCTCAAAATATGCTTATGGCTCGAATTGCTACTAGAATTGCAAAACCAAATGGTCAATATTACATAACTACAGAAAAGGTATTTCAGTAGTTTCTTTTATTCAGAACTTGTTGTCTTTTTCAAAAATTTCAATTTTTATCTGTGGTGTAATGAAGGTATGATGTAAATCATATTACAAGTCCTACATCCTTTTTCTTTCCAAGTATTTTCCCTGTATTTATGTGGTGGCCACAATAGTGTCTTTTTCGTGAATTTTGATACCGAAAGCTTTTGAATATCTTAGGATATTTACAAATTGAATTATTGATGCCAATTGTTGCTTCTGTTATTCTGTATTTATGATTGTGGATTTTTCTTTATTTTAATAAATTTTTTCAATGACCAATAATACTTGCTAAAATAGTTATATGCTAGATGTGGATGTTATTTTTATGTTAAAGTCCCCTAACGTATTCTTTTGACCCTGAAATCTATTACTTCAGAGTCTAGTAGGCCATGATGCTTTGAGTTTTCCTCAAAGTTGCTAATTCTAGGTTTGAACTGTATTATGGATTATGGATGTATTGAAGTTGAGCGTATACAGTTCACTAGAAAGAGTGAATGGTGATTTATATTACATGTTTTCAACTTATACTGTCTGATTTTGATAACATCTTAAAGGTCAACTTACTTTAAGAATTTGGGATCCTGATCACATAATGCTAATTATGAATTGTAGCTGTTGTAGTTCATTTGGATAAGTAAACCTACTTCTATTTCTGTACAGCTGATATATATTGATATTATTATAGTTGATATGTGGAATGTTTTGATGTCTTACCGTGCTCACTTCTTTAGTTTTGCCTTTTCAGGTTGAAGATCATTTATGTCAACTCCCAATTAATGCACTTCCTGGAATAGGGTATGTTTTACAGGAGAAGTTGAAGAAACAGAATGTTCACACATGTGGACAATTGCGCATGATTTCCAAGGTTACTATTCATTCACCTTCTTAATTTATAGTTTTTCTGATTTTTCATTCTATTACGAAAGTTGCTGTTCCTTGACTTCCTTCTGAAGGACAATTAATGATGTGTTCTTTCAGTCTATTATAGGCATTCTTCCTCTGGTTTTAGACATTTCTCTTTTTCCTCGAGTTTGGGAAGGACATGATCTGACTCACAGATTTAGAACCCTTAATAAAAGAAAATAAAAGTTGGGAGAACATGTTTTTTAACTTGTTGAAAATTTGGAAATTGTATAGAAGACAGATTACAATAATCATTGAAAATGAAATATTCATTTAAGCAAAAAATAAGCTTGACTTTGAGGTGTAGAACCTTTGAAAAATACAACCCAATTTTATTTAAGGATCTAATCATTAGCTCAAACTTGTTTTTATGTTGCTACTTAGTTCATTTACTTGCATACTCTGTAGTCATGTTCCAGTTCCTTTTCAGGCTGATGGCATTCTGACATTTTATTTCGTGTACCTTAATTTGCATCTGCAGGCTTCACTGCAAAAGGACTATGGTATGAAAACAGGAGCAATGCTGTGGAATTATAGCAGAGGAATTGATAATCGGTTAGTTGGGTGCTTTCAGGTAGGAAATATTTATCTAAGATCCGGATTTGAGATACTTTAAAATACTTTGGATGTATTTATATATGTACTGTTTCCTTTTTCTTTCATTTTACATTGTGCTGAATTGTTGTATAATGGTATATTGTATATAATGTCTATGTGTGTGAACGTGCATGCATTTGTGTGTACATGTGTTGCTATTTTCTTTTCTTCCATTTTACATTGTTCCAATTAATAGTATAATGGTATATAAATATAATGTTTGCATGTGCGTGCCTGTGTTGCTTCTTTTCTTTTTTCCTTCCATTTTACTCATATGTGCACAATTACTTCTATGTGTGTGCACGTGTGTTCTTTCTTTTTTCCTTCCATTTTAAACTGTGCCATTTTTTTTTATAATGATATCCTTTTTGTTTGATCTATTCCAGTCCTTGTCTTTGGATTGGCTAGCAGTTGTAAGAGTGAACAATAATTAAAGGATATAAATTGTTAGGTTAAAGTGAATAATATTACCATCATCTGACATTGTAAAATTGAAAATTATTGTGCTATGCACCACAACATATTGTAAAATCATTGTACCACTGGTTAATGGCCTCACATGTTGCTTTTTAATTTTCCAACTAGAATATGTGGTGATGTATCCCTTTCTTCTCCTGTGTATATTATTCTTTCATGATAAACTTGTGTTTAATATGAAATTATCTACACTTCCGCAGGAAAGTAAGTCTGTTGGTGCTGATGTAAATTGGGGTGTGAGATTCAATGATATAAAAGATGTTAGTGTTCTCTTACACACTGTATCATATTTTTATATTTCTAAACCTTACCGGCATATACTACAACAAAATCATTCAAAATGTTGACATGAAGTTATTCCAGTGTGAACACTTCCTAATAAACCTATGCAAGGAGGTCTCATTACGATTACAGGGTTATGGAGTGCATGGACGCACTTTCACTTTGAAGGTATTTGTTACTTTCAGCTTCATAGATTTTTTTAGATTATTCATATATCAGCTTTCTGATTTGGCTGGTTGAGCTTCTTTTCATGTCCTGTTTAATTTCTGAAACTGTCATGTGTAATTATGTATCATAATGTTTCTTATATCCTCCAAGTCTACAAAATTTATCTGTAAATACTTATAGATCAAAAAAAGAAGAAAAGATGCTGATGAACCTGCAAAGTTTATGGGCTGTGGGGACTGTGAAAATTTGAGTCACTCAACAACGGTAAATATTGAAGCATACTGAATTGTCATATTCTCTCATAAAAGTTTATTTTAATAATTTTCCATTGTTTTTATAGTCTCTTTTTTGTGTTTCATATTCTCATTGTAGATTCCTCTTGCTACTGATAATGTGGAAATACTCCAAAGAATAGTAAAGCAGCTGTTTGGATGTTTTTTCATAGGTATCTTAACTCTGGTCTGCTTATCCTTTTGATGTATAGCCTGCTTGGGAAGCTTATTTCTGCCTCCATTTTTTTCTTCCAAAGTTGTATCAAACTGACAATAATAAAAGCAATTGTTTTTCTGAAACCAGCTAATCCAGAAATGCATATTTTATGCCATTTTGTTGAATCTATAACTTAGCAGTCTGTGATGTGTTGGTTTATATCGAGACATGTGGATCAAATGACACCACACTTTTTATTACTACTGGGAAAAATTGCACAATGATGTTTTGCAAACTAACAAATAACTTTGGATTTATATTTAAATTTTATAATGGTTTTTTCTTCCTTAACAAGTTATATAGTGTTTCATCCTTTACTTTTACCAGGGTATTCATATATGTTCAGTACATATTTAATTGGATATCTTAACATCTCCATCTTCTCCTTTTATTGATTTCACCATTCACATAGATGTTAAGGAGATTCGAGGTATTGGCTTGCATGTTTCCAGACTTGAAAGTGCAGAGGCTTCTAAACAAGGTATCTGTCTGTATTAAGTGAAGCTTAACCAGCTATGCTGTAATAATATATTATTTGGACATGCACAGTGAAATTTATTGGTAATGCCTGTTACTGAAATAAATAGGAACTTATAACTTCAAGATGAATAATTTCTTATTATTGAATCTGAATAGGTACAATAAAATAAATAGGCATAAAACATAATCAATTCCTAAAGTTTAGGGATTTAGATAAAACTAGCTAAGGAAACTAAACTAGAAAATAGGAGAAGATAAACTAGTATATCTAAACTATATCTTATAGAATTATCTTAACACTCCCCCTCAAGCTGGAGCATATATATCATATGCATCTAGCTTGTTACATATATATGTTATCCTAGGACCTCGTAAAGATTTAGTAAAGATATCTGCAAGTTGATCCTTGGAGCAAACTGAGGAGGTCTTGATGATACCGGAGAGGATCTTTTCTCTGATGAAATGGCAGTCAACCTCTATATGCTTTGTTCTCTCATGAAAAACTGGATTAGAGGAGAGGTATAAAGCTGACTGGTTATCACAAACTAGTTCCATATGACCAACCTTGCAAAACTGCAACTCTTGAATTAAGAATTTTAGCCACAAGAGCTCACATGTGGTGTGAGCCATAGCACGATATTCTGCTTCTGTACTTGATCGTGCAACAACACTTTGCTTTTTACTCTTCCATGAGACAAGATTACCACCCATGAAGACACAATAGCCTGATGTTGACCGCCTATCACTTGCATCACCTGCCCAATCTGCATCTGAATATCCAACAATGTTTGTATGTCCTCTATCATTGTAAACAAGTCCTTTTCCTGGTGATCTTTTGATGTATCTAAGGATTCGAACAACTGCAAGCCAATGACTCTCACAGGGAGAGTTAAGAAACTGACTTACAACACTGACAGGAAAGGATATATCAGGTCTGGTCATGGTGAGATAATTCAATTTTCCCACTAATCTCCGATATCTCCCTGGGTCAGGATAAGGCTCCCCCTGATTAGGCATAAGCTTCACATTAGGATCCATGGGAGTGTCAACTGGCTTACAATCTGTAAGTCCGGTCTCTTCTAGAATATCAAGGGCATATTTTCTCTGAGAAATAGCAATACCGGACTTTGACTGAGCGACCTCAATCCCGAGGAAATAACGTAGGGGACCTAAATCCTTAGTTTGAAAGTGTTTAAATAAGTGTTGCTTCAGTGCCTTGATGCCCTCCTGATCATCACCTGTAATCACAATATCATCTACATAAACAACAAGATAGATAAATCTATGTGTCGATGAGCGTCTAAAGAAGACAGAGTGGTCTGTCTCGCAGCGGATCATTCCAAATTCCTGTATAACTTTGCTAAACCGACCAAACCAAGCACGAGGTGATTGTTTGAGGCCATACAAGGACTTTTGTAATTTACATACAAGACCAGACCCCCCTTGAGCAACAAACCCAGGAGGTTGATCCATATAAATCTCCTCCTCCAAATCACCATGTAAGAAGGCATTTTTGATGTCTAATTGAAACAAAGGCCAATGCCTCATAGCAGCCATAGCTAAGAAGAGACGAACTGAGGCCATCTTCGCAACTGGAGAGAAGGTGTCGCTGTAATCCAAACCATATACTTGCGTGTATCCCTTAGCCACAAGACGAGCTTTCAATCTATCCACCTGTCCATCAGGGCCCACTTTAACATTAAATACCCACCGACAACCAACAACAGATTTTCCAGGCGGAGGTGGGACAAGTACCCAAGTGTGGTTGGAGTCTAAAGCTGTCATCTCATCAATCATTGCTTGTCGCCATCCTGGATGGGTTAAGGCCTCCTGTACTGTCTTGGGAATGGTAATAGAGGAAATAGCAGAGACAAAAGCATAATAGGTAGGAGACAAACGATGATATGAAAGAAAGTTATAAATAGGATGACGACTACCTTTACGAAGAGCAATGAGCAAGTCAACTGAGGTAGGTGGGGCCGGAGTAGGTAAGGAGACTGGAGCAGGGGCAGAATCACATGACTCAGTTGTAGAAGTACTGGGAGGAACAATAGTATGTGACCGACGTTCCTAGGTTATCCCAAATCGGTGTAGAGGACGATCAAACCCTAGTGGTGTGCTAGGAATCTTTGGTGCCTCTAAAGTAGTAGGTGTAGAAGGCACACCGGGATCAAAATGAGGAATAGGCAATACCTGAGAAAGGAGATCTGAGTCAACCGAAGAGACATATGTAGCAATGAAATATGGTGTATTTTCAAAGAAAGTGACATCTGCACTAGTGTAAAACCGATGTGTAGCTGGAGAGTAACAGCGGTACCCCTTTTGAACACAGGAGTATCCTAAGAACACACATTTGATAGCCCTAGCAGACAACTTAGCACGTCCTGAGAAAAGATCATGGACAAAACAAGTACAACCGAAGACACGAGGATGAACAGGGTAAATAGGATCCAATGGATATAATAGGGAATGAGGTACTTGATCATTCAAGACAGAGGATAGCATTTGATTTATTAAATACCCCGTAGTAAGTACAGCATCTCCCCACAACTTTGGGGGTGCATTGGCATTCAATAAAAGAGTACGAGCAGTGTCCAGAATATGTCTATGAGGGCAACTAGATTGATGTAGAATGTCATGGAAAGTCATAAATGATTTGAAGCAATCTGAAAAATATTCTTTAGCATGTCACTTCGTAAAATCCGAATTACTTTGCCAAATTGAGTTTTGATCTCCGAATAGAAACTTTGAAAAATATTGAATAACTCAGAACGATTTTTCATTAAAAATATCCAAGTACATCTAGAAAAATCATCAATAAAGGTGACGTAATACCTATGCCCTAAAAGAGAAGGAACTCGACTAGGGCCCCAAACATCAGAATGAATGACATCAAAGGGAGACACAGCTCGACTTTTAATACTCTTAGGAAAAGAAGTTCTAACATGCTTCCCTAATTGACATGACTCACACTCTAAGGATTCCAAGCGTGAGAGATGAGGTACCATTTTCTTTAATTTATTCAAGCTTGGATGACCCAGGCGACGATGAATTAAACTAGGAGACTCAACAGATGCACATATGGTAGAGGTAGAAGACTGAAGGTAGTAGAGACCATGTGATTCATATCCGACTCCAATCGTCTGTCCCGTACTCCGGTCCTGTATCAAGAAAGAATCAGAAGTGAAGGTTATGGCACAATTTAGTGACCGAGTCAACTTACTTATAGAAATCAAATTAAAAGGACATCCAGGAACTAGTAAAACAGATTTTAATGGTAGTGAAGGGGTAGGTGATATTTGGCCAATACCAGTGGCTTGAACTTTTGACCCATCTACAAGAGTGATATGATGTGAAGTTTTAGGTGATGATAGGCTATGGAAAAGGGAGACATTACCTGTTAGGTGATCAGAAGCACCAGAGTCCAAAACCCAAGGTCCAATAGACGTAGAGTGAGAGAGACAGACAGTAGAATTACTAGTGTGAGCAACAGTGACAGAGGAAGAGGCTTGTTGCGCTGCCTTCAGTTGAAGATACTCTTTGTAATCATCGGTAGATAATGAGATTGGATGATTTCCCTTAGATTCAATCTTGAGCTCTAGAGCCGAAGTTGGAGATTGAGCCATGAAGAGAAAAAAGGAGAAAAACAACAAAAGAAAACCTCAATCAAAAAACCACAGAAACAACAAACAATCAACCACGGAACACCGAGGTAGCAACCAATCAACCACGGAACTCTGAGTCAACAACCAAACGACCACGAAACTCTGAGACAACAACCAAACGACCACGGAACTCTGAAACAGCAACCAAACTACCACGAAGCTCTGAGATAGCCACCAAACGACCACGGAACTTCGAGGCAGCAACCAAATGACCACCAACAGACCACCTAGAGTGTGACCCACAACCTGAAAAAGGTCAAAATGAGAAGAGGAATGGTCGACAAGTCCAACGGAGTGAACCGCATCGCAAACGGAGGCCTGGAGGGCGGTGCGTGAACCCCACGCGCCAACGAGCTTCCTCAACAAGAATCGCGTGTGAGGGCGCGTGAGACGGCGGCTGGTGGTGGCTCGCGACGGAGAGGCCGATTGGCGACCTCTGAATGTACAGGCGGTGTTAACTCCGGCAACCGTCAAAAACCCTAGATGTTGGCGGCTGGATTAGGGTTCCTGGACCAGAGTGCTCTAGTACCAGCTTGAATATGAATAATTTCTTATTATTGAATCTGAATAGGTACAATAAAATAAATAGGCATAAAACATAATCAATTCCTAAAGTTTAGGGATTTAGATAAAATTAGCTAAGGAAACTAAACTAGAAAATAGGAGAAGATAAACTAATATATCTAAACTATATCTTATAGAATTATCTTAACAATCTTTAAGCTGAGATCTGCTACTACCTTGATGCTCTTCATTTCTCCATCCTTGTATTTAGTGTTCTAGACAAATTTTACTTTTCCTTGAGTTTTGAACTTTTCTTTTGTTATTTTATATAATTTCTTTATAATTGTCTAACATTATTTATTTCATGAAGGTACAGCAAAATATTCTTTGAAATCATGGCTCACTCCTGGATATGCAAGTATGGAAAATCAGAAATATCCTATGGGTATGCCACTTAAATTCCTTCATCTAGTGGGATAAGGCTTTTGTTGTTGTTGTTGTTGTTGTATTCTATGGGCAATGGAAAATGTTGTAACACAGTGTTTACTTGTTATGCTATTGTTTAGATGACAATGCTTTTGTCTTCAACTTATATCAGCTTGTATAAATTTTCAACTTTTTTTGTCCGTTTTGAGATTTTGTTAATGATGGAATTAATGAAAAAAACCTCTGGTGATTTCCCTTTCTTCAGGCCATGAGAAGCAGAACATGGGTAGCACTTCCAGTCGTGCATGTAGAGATTTGCAAGGGTCTTCAGTTGTAATGGACAATAAAATACCAAATAACCAAGCTAGTACCGACCCAATTCCAACACCTCCTCCTTTATGTAACCTTGATGTGGAAGTTATAAGGAATCTTCCTCCGGAAGTATTTTCAGAATTAAATGAAATTTACAGAGGGAAGTTAATTGATTATATTGCTAACAGGAACAACAAAAGTGAGAGTTCTAGCCCTTCAGGAAACTCATTTTCAGAGCAAGGTAAGTTTTTCTCTTTTTCATCCGTGTAACCTACTTTGGAGTTTGGACATATACTAATCTGAAATAACCACAAATGCTTTCAAATTGTTTTTGTTGGCAGCAATAAACAAGGAAGAGGAACTTTCTTATTCCGAGCCAATTCCTCAAAACAATCAATTATCAAAAAATAAGGTATTTTCCACCCTACTTTATTATGCTTCATCATATCTTGGATGATCTCTTAGGAGTAATTTTCATATTTTGTTACATTCGCCCTCCTCTCCCCTCCCTATTTAATTTGGATTAATATTCTAGCACTAGTAGAATAAATAGGGGTTAGAGCTTTGTATTTTTTATGACATTACTATAAACAAGACAACATTATTTAGTATTTATCTTCTCTCCTTTCCTCTTTC